CTGATTAGAATGAAATTTAACCTGAAAAACACCACCTGTATGTTATTTTCCAAGAGTAAAAATTAATTGATTTTAATTACAGATAGGAGTAAGAAAAAGATGTCCTAATAATTAACAACAACTTACTAACAGTTCTCATGTTATATGACTGACAGTCCAAAACAATTCTCAATATAATTTTCATTTTAAGACTAATTAATTTGATACCACATTTGTTGTCACCATCATATTTAGAACAAAGATTATTACTTGTTTTGACATTAGTAAGATTACAAAACTAACAGTTTTCTTTACTAAATGACAAATTATTTTACACATTTACTAGCTATAATTTGTGTATTAGAATCTGAAACCATTCATCACAAAACCATCATAATTTTTAGAATAAATATGAAATAATAAGATGATTTTTAAGCTCTATTTTACATGCTTATAGCTTAAAAATTTATTTATTTATTTATTTATTTATTTGTAAGTGAAACTATTTATATAAGTGGATTATAAGTTTTCTATTCAAATATGTAAAATATTTAAATAAAAAATGATAAAACTTTCTAAATTTATGAAATATAAAGCTAAAAATATATTATTTATGGCTTTAAATACAAAATTTTCATATCAAAATGTCAAAAGACTTAGTTTACAATACAAAAAAAGTAATGCACTTACAACTTTTATGAAATAGTAAAAAAACTTTACAAAATTGCTTTTCTGTAAGTACAAAAAAGACATTTTCATATTGATCACAAGTTCGACCAGGTCCACAAAGAGTTTACTGATATTAAAGAATGGGTTAACATAGCCAAATCAAGCTCACAAAAATTTCTGACAACATGACCCAGACCAGAAATCAAGATCCCAGATGGCTGACGACAAAGTTTGTCAACATGCCAATACTTTGTCTCAACCATCGACATCGCGATGTGATAACTTTAAGATCTCTTGTAAATGCTCACAACAGAAAAAATGTAAAAATAAATTTATCAAATAATAAAATAAAACAAAAAACTATAAAATATTTTAAATATTTGCATTAAATAAAAATTCTGAATAAATCTTAAATAATACATTTAAATAAGCATCTTCATAATGATAAGAGTACAGCAAATACTGAATACAGCAAATGAATAAATACTGTTGTAAAACTGTTTAGACATACTGAGTACATCAAAAGAAATATGATAAATAAATCAATGAATGAATTCCTATGTTTTTATAGTTTCTAAAATGATTCATCATGTATATGTTTGATACTAACGGCAAGCCACAAATTAAGAGCTGTTTCATTTTACATCATTCTGATTATTAATCAATTTGTCAAATTTTTTCATTCTAACTGCTTGTACACTAAATCAATTATATGAAGCACATGTATTAATAACATCATAATTTTAATAGGAGAAAGTACAAGTACTACATTTTGTTATTTTTACCACTATTAAAAAATACACTATAATTATATATAAAATTTATATAGATTCTCAATATACTTATAAAAAAAAGTAAATAAATAAAACCAAATAATTTATGATATCACCAATTACTGACGACATTTTCTTGTCTTATTAGGTTAAATGTATCAATATTCAATATAAGAGAACTTCATCAAAACAAATAATTTCTGCAATGTTTTGGCCAATTTTAGTTTTTTGTTGATTTACATAATGAAGACAAATTGAATTGTTAATACAAGGCACTAGCATATTTAGGTTATATGACATCTTAATAATTAAGATGCCATATAACCTAAATGTGCTGGTGATTCTGTAATGGATATCCATTACAGAAAAGTTTGACAACAATGGAGCTGCTAACATGAGTGAAGGAAGGGGTGACACCTCAATCCAAGCTACCTATAATAAATTATAGAGGTCTGTATCACATTTGAACTCATATCCAGGGAATATTTAAAATTCTGCCATCCATAAGCATGAAAGATTTTGTCACTCCTGATTACATCTCCCATACAAAGACCATTAAAAAGATATATGAAATATTCTGTAACTTAATGTTATTCTCTATGCCAAAAATTGCTGACTTCAAAATTTTGTCATCATAGATGTATGCTTACTTTTCCTATTCAGAAACAATCCATGGTTGTATTTACACAGCAGTAAGATAACATTTTACTGTGCAGTAGTGATGTGCAAATAGTAACTATACAACTTAATACTTAGTCTAAAAAAATACACATATATACATATGGGTTTATCACATCAGTGAATGAGATTAATTCACTGGTGTGAATTAATCTCATTCACTGTAATTCACAAATTCTTTAATGATTATTAACACCTTAATAAAATTTTACAATAAACTATGCTCTTTTAACATGTACATAATAAAGAATACTCAAAATGCTTTTTGGACACAATAATAGTCCCTCTTCATTACATTATAACTAACATTCTAGTTCAGTACATTCTAGTAACTATATATTACTTTTGCATCTGTTATTTGCAAATATATAAAGTAACAAATACTTTTTTGAAAAGTATTCATTACTCATTAATTTCAGAATTAACACAGCAAAAGGAGAATGACAATAAAAATGTTGATTTCAGTTTAACACTGCATTTTATAATTAAATATAAAACCATAAAATAAAACTTATTTCATACGTTAATCAACCTATTGGACTTATAGGATTACAAAAGAGTTACAAATGGTGGTATATTAACTCTTTTTATCTTAAGCATTAACAGTATAAGAAACAATTTGAATAATCATTGCAAGTTGATCAAACCTGTAAGGTGGCAGAAGTAAGTTAAATGAGGGAGGAAGAGGCCAAAAATTTCTAGGTCATCAGAAAAATTCTGAGGATCCAACTGTAAAAACCATTTAACAGAGAGAAAGGAATACTCTAATGACATGATCACTTGGTCATCAATAATACAACCATAAAAATTATTACAGCAGTTTAATTAATACAAGAACAAATTAATTATCATTCTCATATCAGAAAATTTCCTGCAATAAAACAAAACTGAACCCGAATTAAAAACTCAAAAAACAAAACAAATAAGTAAAAATAACAAAGCAACCAAGTCTAAGTTCAGCTGAGAGGACTTATCTGAGACACTAGTCCTAGTTACAAACTATAGAATAGTTTAAAAGCAGGAATGTCCAATTTTTTGGCTTCCTTGGGCCAAATTTGAAGAAAAAAATTGTCTCGAGCTGCACATAAACTATCAAACTACAAGTAAAGGTGACATGAGTAGATTTGCCATTTTAGGCCAAAACAAACAATGAAATAATTTATGTAGCCAAGTCAAAGTTTTGTAGCCCAAAAAGTAGTCCATTTTGACACAAAGTAACCAAATCTTTTCATTTCAGGTATAGTACATAATATGCATATAATTTATGATGAAAGTCATCTTAACTTCTGTCTTCAGCACTTGTGAACCTCATTGCACTAGCACTGCAGCAACTAACTTAACTGTCTTTTAACAAAGTGGCTTTAAGCAGTTTTACTAAGAAATAAACCCATATTTATATAACGAACTAACTGGATAAAATATACTACGAATAAAACACACCTTTAATAATCCAGCTAATAAAAATTAATAAAGTAAAAACGTTTTTGAAAACATTTTTACTTTATTAATTTTTATTAGCTGGATTATTAAAGGTGTGTTTTATTCGAAATAAACCCAATGTATATTTTTAAAGATTCTTTAATGTTATCTTGTAACAATTTTTTTAATAAAAAGTATTACAATGCCATGCAAATTTTAAAAAATTTAAAAAAATAAGTATATAAAAATCTCAATTTTAAGGAAGTTTATGATTTTATGTTGGGTCACAATTCAGCACTGGGCCACAACCCAGTGCTGTAATGAATGCAACCCAACACTAATACTTCATCCTTTAAAAACCAGGTTTTTAAAGGAATGAAGTATTGGGTCAAATTTTTAAAGGATGCAGTATTGGTCTCCTAGTTTAATTTTTTTAGTTAATCACTGACTAATAAAAAGAGTTTGATTAACTTAAAAACTCAATAGAAATAACCTCAATTATAATTTATAATTTGTATTATGGGTAAAGTGCCATAATACAAATTACTTTATCAGTACTTTAAATTATCAGTACTTTATCCATAACACAAACAATTTATATACATACATATAGTAAACCTTCAATTTAACAGACAAAAAATTTGTCTGATAGGAGGAAAACTTTAAAAATTTTTTATTTGAAAACAGAGCATGCTAAAAGATTGAATTAAAAAGCTAATGATGTGTATAAATTACATAATGTACATACACAACATGTAATAACATTTTAACACATCTTGCACATTTTAAGTTTGTTATTAATGTATGTGTATGTGTGTGTGTGTTATGCTATATCTAGATATGCTGCATATGAGTAATTTTTAAAATAGGCAAGTGAGGTTTCAGCCAGGAATTTAGCTATATTTCTGCCAAATTCACAAAACTGGCAATCAGGTGATGTATTATTAGTACAGTATTGTAGTAAATTTATGAACTTACATGTTTTGGAAAGCTCTCATTTTGTTTTGTTTTCATTTTTCATTGTTTTGGAGTTTCTAATTTTGAAGATTTGCTGTGAATACTTAATATTTTTTATTATAAATACTTACGCCCTAATCTAGCATTTAATGTAACATGTTCATTATAAAGTATAGTATATCATTAAGAAAATATAATACACCATAAAATAATTTTCAAGAAGACAATACTAAAATATATCTTTGCTTAGCATTTTCTAGTCCATAACTCAATGAGTGAATAAGACAGAAGTCTTATTAGAAAATATAAAATGACAATTTCACAAAATAGGCTAAATTTGAATTGTCTATTTTTTATGAAATAGAAAATTTGCCCAATTCACGAAGTAAGCAATTGATGTGCCAATTTCACAAATTATGCAAAATTTTGTATAATTTATGTATAAATTAATTTGTAAAGAATATATTAGAAATTTAATTAAACTTCATCAATATTGTAATAAATAAAATAAATATGTTTAAATACTTACTCTATATCTGCCATCTTATCCAGCAAGTATATTTTCACATTAGGAGAGAACTCAACTACAATAAAAAAATCTTTTTTTAATATTTAAACTTAAAATATAAATTTATATATTATTTATAATTTACATTTAAAAATAAATCAATATAAACATAAAATATAAAACTTTCAGAAATTAAATTATTCACTAGCATTTATAACATAATACAATATAATATATAAGCATAATTCTTGCACTGATAAAGATTTAATTTCAAATTATTCATTCAGACAGAAATTCTCAATTGCTCTACATATGTGTTATCTAAAATTCTTTATACACTAGCATGCAAAACTTAAGCAACAATGTAATTTTTAAGCAGACAGCCATTGTTGCGATCAGTACAATGAACCAATTCAGTAGAAAGGTAATTCATGTTCAGGAAGAAGACATCACAGGTGACATGAGGGCATGCAAAAAACATGCAGTCAACACACACAGTGCAAGACTACAATAAACAGAAGGCTTTGATTTCATACTGTATATGTTCTACTCATTTTTGTTCTAGTATGCTTTCTTTATCCTTTAAGTACAAAATACTGTCTCTGAATTTCATGTCTCCCAGGTGATTTGTGGAGTTACAGCAAGTTTTGCTTACGTTTTGCACACCCATGTATGATACAAATAATTTAAAGTATTAAGTTAATAAAACTAATCATTAAAATATTAACTGTTTTTATGCAACAGAAAATGCAAAAATATTTGATAATGCACAATTTCATAAAATGTATTTATATAAAATTAATAAAATTCAATGTTAAAATAATGAAATCAAATACTTTTTAAGCAATAAATTTATGTCGCATATCCCTGACATGAACTTTCAGTGATGATTTTTCAAGAATATTTGTAAGGTTTAATATTTAAATTTAAAAATGATATTTACAAATTAATCAGAAGTATTATTTCAACATATAACAAACCTTTTTGCACTTTCATTTACTTCAATAAATTTATTAACACTTTATAAAAATATTTCATTTATATTTAACATTCTAGAAAGATTTAATTTTTAGAACTTACTTCTATGAATGTATAAATGAACTTGATTTAAAATATCTTGTAAGGCAAGACCTTTTAAAGTTTTCAGTTTGTTTATATCTGTTTTTTAATTAAAGATTAAATAATTTTCCAATAACTTAATAACAAATTATAAAATTTGCTGTCAAAATTAATTACATTTACATCATAATTAAAATTAATTTACAGATAAACTATTCAAATAAGTATTCATTAATTGCACATATAACATCTAACATAGTACAACAGTTCAGTGTAAAATTGAAACCATACAAATTAAGACTAAAATTTATAAGTAAAACAGAGGAATAGATTTTTCTATTTGTTTACTTAAGATATTATAAATTATCTCAATAAAATCTATTATCAAAGCTTGTTTTTATTTTTATTTCATTTTTTTACAAATTTCCTGATATCAAGCTAAATTTAATGCATACGTTATGAAGTTATATTGTACAAAATTCCATCTCTTTGAAAACATGTAAGGTGAGGATTAACAGCAACATGACTACAATGTTAGTGATTACAATAGTTATCATAAACTAAACATTAATTTCATGAATGAAAATAACAATAAAATCTTGATTTTCATCAAAAGATCTGACAAAAACTACAAATATGATAATGATAGATGTAGGAACTCTACATACAATGGAGGAAAAACAGTCAGATTTGCCTGTATATATTTACTTACTAAAAAAATCTACATCACTAATACTTTTTCCTTAATATAATATACCAAACAGTGAAGAATTAAGTCAAATTGAAATGTTTCTTAAAGGAGGAACTTCCATCCAGAGTGAAGTACATCAGCATCCTTCTTATTAATGTATACAACAGTAAAAGCTTATTTATAAATCTGCAGAATAAAGTTCTACAAACTTTTAGCCTTGGTTGTATCCGGCATCTGCTCTACACATTCCAGCTTGCTCCCATGATCTCTTTTCATATAACATAGCCACTTCACAGCCTTACAAAAATACATTGCTCAGATGTCAGCAATACTATTAATAAATTAAATTATATTAGAAGATTGGCAGTCTTACATGATTTTAGGGGAATACTGTTGAAAAGTTGATCATGACATATCAGCAGACAAAATTTTTGGAATTGTGAACTAACATTTGTGTGAATGCGCTATTGTTCTTTTTAAAAATTATCAGTCTAGAATTATTCTTCAGGATTACAAATTCTGATCAATAGATACAGAAAAATGATAAACTGAGGATGAACTGATGCAGGTTTAATTGTCATAGTTTAAGTAGAATATTTTTGGAGATCCTAGAAATTAAAGTTTCTAAGACAGTGGTACAAACAAGAATACTAAATCAAGATTTAAGTGTAGTTCATTTTAAAATAAAACACTAATTAATATTTTAAAATATTGTATAAAACTGAAACTCTATCATTCTTACAATTTTCTGACCATTTTAAACTAAAATCATGCAATTTGAGTACTGTGTAAATTGAGGGTTTTATGTATTATCAGCAAATTATAATTGTAGTGTATGTATTGATAAATAATGAATATTAAAAATAAAATAAAATAAATAACTTACTAAATAAAGGAATCCTTGCTACCTGTGTAACATGAATCCATAGAAAACACTATCATTGCTATTTCATTGAAAATAAATCTATATATATAAAAATGACTGTATGTCTGCCTGTCTGTTCTTCATGCATTACTACACCATTTATCTGATTGACACGAAACTTTGGGAAGTTGTTTAATACACTCCCGCAAAGGTTTCTGGCATAGTACATTTATGACTATGCCAGAGCTTTATTCGCTCTCTTTGTCTTAATGTTCAATTTAATGTACGAATTTATATTTATGAATGATTCTGGAAAATCCAGCTTATTTTTTAAATTTAGTAAACCCAAAGAAGAACCCAGAAAGAGTTACAAAAACGTTTATTCATCACTTAGTAGTACTATGCACTGGTTAGTGGTTACAGTGAGTCTTAATTATTGCTATCCCGGTGTGGTAAGCAGATATCTAAAAATTTTCTAATTAGTCTCAGAAGAGGGGGGATAGTCTTGCACTTGATAAAACGGGAAAGATCGGCTATAATCTAATAATCTTAATCTTCGCTATCAATACTTTTTTCCCAAGCAATGCTGGGCTCATCTGCTAGTAATTTTATAAAATTACAAAATTTAATGCACAAAAGTATCATAAAAGTGTCTTCTTTTAATTCTTAATGTCCTTTACACACTTTGGGAACAAAAAATCTCTACAGCGGAGTCAACCGTCTTTTATAGTCTACTTTTCATGCCTCAATATGTAAAAAATTCAAGTATTTTTCATTAATGTTTTCATTGTAAATTAATTTTATGATTGTGCCGAAAACTTGGTAATATTTTAAACTGTTTTTACATATTGAGGCAGAGAAAGCAACTAATAAAGGAAGGATGACTCCATCGTAAAGACTGTTTGTTCCCAAAGTGTGTAAAGGACATTAAGAATTAAAAGAAACTTTTTGTGATACTTCTACACATTAAATTTTGTAATGTATTAATTTCATCCTAGCATGTTTTAATTATTTTTATTAATGTTTTAATTGTAAATTTTATTAAATATGTTTTATTCATCTAATTATTACAATTATTTAATAAAGTAAAATTAATTAAATTAAAGTATAAAAATAGTTTCACAATAATTTTCTACACATTTATTAAAACACCATGTTGTAGATTAAACATTATTTAAAATTACAGGAAATTAATTATAAATATAAAGGATACTTTCGTAGGCAGTAACAAAATCGTCATTTAAAAGCCAAGTTACAATGTTTTTAATATCCGACTTTAAAGGATGACCAACACAAGTATATACATTTTCTTCATTTACTATATCAAATGCCATAGCAGTACTCTGAAAATATAGCTTTTATAATCAGTATTAAAATATAAAAGAAATATATACAAATAAGTAAATACATAATAATAGTAATAATAAATAAACAATTCTATTATGACAAATAGATTTTCAAATGATAATACTGCTCCATTCTCAGAACGGTAACAAATTAAAATTGTATTAAATGTTAAAATTATTCATTTCAATAGTAAAATGTTTAATTTATACATCTAAATTCATTTATATGTTGTTTCCTTTTTAATACAGATAACAGATATCATAATAACTTTTTATACTGAAATGCCATTTAATTAGGGATAGGACAGTTGAAAATTCTGTACTACTACTCTCACATTTGCATGGACACCTGATCAGTTCTGTGAAGATATACAGCTGGCAGCTTTGCCTTCCCCAAACATTAGCCCTCTTGGAGCAAATGTTTGGGGAAGGCAAAGCTGCCAGCATGAAAGAAAATACACAATTTAAATTCTCTATGGCTAGGACAGCAGTGAACACCATGGAGATCTTCCACGGAACTGCACTGTTTTTGGAATCTTAGAACTCTACTCATACACTTATGTGTAACTCATGCAGTCGTCTCCTTATTGTTTCTGCATGTGCCAATGGATGTTAATTGGTTTTGTTAAAAATTACACAGTAGATTCCTCTTGCTTCATGCACTGCTGGAAAGATGCACCATTTTATCAGTAAGATTTCATATTTTCGTGCAATCAAGTGTTGCCAGTCACAGTTATTGTTGCCTCTGACGTGGAAGTTTTGTGTCAGAATTACTATGCTATTGCTCATCCTCCTGACTTTTAATGGCACTTTTCCAGTTTTCTGTTGAACATGCCTTGTATCATACAAAGAAATTTAATATAGAAGTCCTAATGATTCTTAACATACATTCCAAAATCAAAAACTTTTGTAGAAGGTAGTATACCACCCATTATCAATGGCATTTGAGCTGAACAAGCAAAAATCATTTTGAGATTTGTTGCTATTAATCAGAAATGTGAATTATGTCAACATCAAATTGATCACTGTGATTTCAACAAAAAAAAGTATTACTGTTTTTAATATAAAAAAAATAATAAAATAAAATTTCTTTAGACACTGCACTTGCATTATATAACCACACCATGAAAAAGATCTTAAAATGCAACGATATTTTAATAGTTGAGTGTTTTTGGCTGTTTTTATCTACCTTCTTTCAGGATTAGAAATAGCAAAGAAATGACAATTTTCATTTGAAACGAATGAAACATAAATATATTTCTGACAAATATAATGTAAATGTTATTATTCTAGAGCAAAATTTCAAAACAAGAGAATCTTGGACTTCTATTATTATTATTTAAAAAAAATTAATTAATTAAACTATTATTAAAAAATTATTTGCACGAAAAATTCCTTAAATATAATGCCTATTCAGATTATTCATGTTAGCTTACATTGGACAGATTGTTTATTTTTACATTAAAGCTGTCATTAAAATATGAACTACAGCAAAATGTATATTGCTCATTGAACAGATGTGTCAGGTGAGTCATTTATACACTATATAACTTTGTATGGTAGACTCATTTCTGGAAGTAGAGCAAGCTCACAAGAGCCATTTAAGAAAAGAGAATTATCAAGAATTCATTCTATAAAGTTGGTTGAAGAGCACCAAATACATCCAAGGTAGAGGAATACCCATGGGGCAACCCACTTTCATGGACACTTCATAAGATGGTACTGAGATCCTTAGAAAAATCCATTTTGCCAAGAGACTTATCATTCAAAAACTTTGTACCGCCCTTGTTCATATCAAATTACATGCAAGATTTTATTTCTTTGATTGAGTTAATTTGTAAACAAACATCATGAAATCTGGTAAATTTGTAAAGCCAAACAACCACCGGATTACATCAAACTACTTTTCCACGATTATATTTAATTACTAAATAATTTGTCACTAGAGGAAAGTGTTAGGTGCAATCTCTTATTAATTAAATTAAAATTTATTGAATAATTTAAAATATTCTAGAAGAAAAGAACTGGCCACAAGCAGACTGATTATTTCGTATTTAATTAAATATAATAGCAAAAACGTAGCCCGATGTAATTTGGTGGAAGTTTGAATTAATTCAATAATTAATCACATTAAACAAGAAACAGCTATTAACAATTTCTACTGTTAGATGTGAAAATTTTTTTTAACAATTATCAAATACCTGAAGTATATTTATAACTTTCCTCATATCACCTTGAGAAAGTTCCATTAATGCTGTTTTTCCATCATCAGTAATATTAATTCTATAAAGAAAAGTTATAATACATTGAAATTTATATAAAGACTTTTTTCTATTAATAAAACTCTAATCATTAAAATTTAATTTTCTTACTTTTCTTTCTCGACAATATAATTTAACCGAGGTTCTATTTGTTTGGGAGATAAAGGTCCAAATCTGAAACGTGTACAACGTGACTGAACGGCAGGAATAATTTTAGACAAGTAATTGCAAATGATGCAGAATCTTGTATTATCAGTAAATTTTTCAATTACTGTAACAATTTAAATTAATATACCATACACAAATATTCAAAGAAAATAAAATTTAATTTAATAAATTTTGTCTTAATCAATTTTATATAAAATCTAAAGCAGTAGTTGGAAGATTAGTCTGCGAGATGACTTTCTGTGGCCCACAAATAGTTATAGATTATTATTATTATGTCGGGTTTAGTGAGTTATACTAGGTTGACACTGGTTGCTGTGTACTATGCCAGCCCAGAGTCAAAGCATAGCAACCAAAACAAAACAAAAATTAAATAAGTGTGTTTTTTTGTTTGTTTTATTAAATTGTGGCAAGGCAACACTTGGGCAATCTGCTTAGGGGATACCTTCTGTCTTTTTAAGGGTAACTGGCCCCTATTTAGGCATTACAGATGTGGAGAAAACCCGGAAAACTCCACAAGGCAAGCCTGTCCTGGCGAGGCAAAAACCCACAACCTAATTCCCAGTGTTCAGGGACAGAAACCACTTGGCCACTGGTGGGCCAAATAAATGTGTCAGTGTGTGTGTGTGTGTGTGTGTCTATTCAGGAATTTCCTAACAGTATGACACGTATTCCATATAGTGGCCTTCTGTAGTGTGATGTATTTGTTTCTATTCAACTGTAATGCTTCCAGGCATTTGTGTAATGTGTGTGTGGTATGACAGGTACAATAACCCTGTCCATCCTCCACAGATGCCTTATTTCCTGGGCAAGTTCTGTGTACTTGCTAATTTTTTCAGTGCATGTGTTTTGTACATTGTGAGTGTTTGGAATGTCTATGTCTATAATGTATGTGATTTTATTGTGTTTGTCAATGAGTGTGATGTCTGGTCTGTTGTGGTAAATTGTTTTATCTGTGATTATGGCTCTGTCGTAATACATTTTGTGCGTGTTATTTTCCAATACTGTCTGTGGAATATACTTGTAGTATGGTTCGTGGATGTCTGCCAATTTGTGTTTCTTTGCAAGCTCTTGGTGTATTATATTTGCTACTTGATTGTGTCTATGTAAGTAATCTGTCTGTGCCAAGAGCTTGCAACCAGAAGTGATGTGTTGTATAGTTTCTGGCATGATGTGACATTTTCTGCATGTGTCATTTGTGAGTGTTGTATCTTTGAGTATGTGTTTTCTGTAGTTTTTAGTATTTATGACCTGATCCTGTATGGCAATCATGAATCCTTCCGTCTCCCCAAAGAGGCATCCCCGATCTAACCAGCTGTTTGACGCAGTTTTGTCAACAAAATCCTGGGCCAGGTCGTAAGGATGCCTGCCATGGAGAGCCTTTTGAGCCCATGATTGCTTAATGTTGTCTATGCTTTTTATATGTTGTGTCATGTCTGTATGTTGTGAGTGTAAGTTTAATGGTGTGTTATTTGAGTCTGCTAGAGCTACTGCTTTTGTGTATTGTGATGTTTCTTGTTTCCTGTAGAAAAACTCTCTCAGTGACTGTATTTGTTTGTAGTGAAGGTTAACTATGTCAATCAGGCCACGTCAGCCATCTTTACGTGGAAGGGTTAATCTTTCTATAGCGGATTTAGGATGATGTTGTTTATGCTTAATAAGTGTTGTTCTTGTTTTCCTTTGGAGTTGCTCGAGATCTGTGTGAGTTCAATATATAACTCCAAAAGATTATGTGAGAGCTGGGATGACATATGTGTTTGTTGCTTTAACTGTGTGTTTTGCATTTAGCTGTGTTTTGAGAATGGCATTTAACCTACTTTGGTATTCTTTAATTAATATTTGCTTTATTTGTGTATGTTCTGTTAGTTTGGCCTGTTGGAATCCTAAATACTTGTAGAACTCGCCCTCTTCCATGGATTCAATAACGTCTCCATTTCCAAGTGCAAAATCTTCTTTCTTCAGGATTCCTTTTTCTATGTGAAGTTTTTTGCATTTGTCTAAGCCAAACTCCATTTGTATGTCCTTAGTGTATGAATGTGTGATTTGTAGGAGTTGATGAAGTTGTTTTTGTGTGGATGCATAAAGTTTTATGTCGTCCATGTACATGAGATGTGACAGTGTAAACTGTGTTGTTTTTTCATGTCTGATATTGTAGCCATAATGCGTGTTGTTTAACAGGTTGGATAATGGATTCAGGGCTAGGCAGAACCAGAGAGGACTCAAGGAATCTCCTTGAAAAATTCCTCGCCTAATGAATATTTCGTTTGTTTGTATGGAAGTGTTACTAACCCTGAGATGTAGTGTTGTTCTCCAGTGCTGCATAGTGTTTTCGAAGAATGCAATGAGTGATGGATGTATTTTGTACATGTGTAGAATATGTAGCAGCCAACTGTGTGGAACACTGTCGAATGCTTTTCTGTAGTCTATATATGCCATGTGTATGTTTCTGTGTTGTTTGTGTGCTTGCCGTAGAATGACTGAATCTATGAGTAACTGTTCTTTGCATCCCCTGTGATTTCTACGGCAACCTTTTTGTTGTTCTGTAAGAATGTCGTGTTCTTCAACATGTTTGTATATTTTGTTTGTGATACAGGATGTCAATAATTTGTAGAGTGTTGGAAGACATGTAATTGGTCTGTATTGTGTGGGGTCTGTGGTTTTGTTGTTTTTAGGTTTCATGTAGGTAATGCCCCGAGTAAGAAATTTTGGCATGTCTTGTGGATTGATGATGATGTGTGTTAGATGTTTAGCTAGTTCCTGGTGCAGTGATGTAAACTTTTTGTACCAGAAATTGTGAATGTTGTCTACACCAGGTGTCTTCCAGTTGTGTGTTCTGTTAACAGCGTAGCGAATGTCGTGTATGTTTATTTCAGCACAGGGCATAGTTGGTATGTTGTGCAAGTTTCTGTTCTCCTCCTCGATCCAGCCTGCATCAGCATTGTGTGTAACAGCATTGGACCAAAGAGAAGACCAATAAGTTGTGAGTTCTTCTTCTGTTGGTGTGCCACTGTGCTGTGTATCAGTGTTTGTTTTGGTACTGATTTGTCTGTAGAAAAGTTTTTCATTGTTTGTGAATAATTTATTTTGTTGTTTTCGTAGTGTACATGTTTTGTATCGTTTGAGTCTACGTGCTTTGGCTGCGAGTTTTTGTTTTAGTGTATCGATGTATTCTGTAATGTGTGTGTTGTGATGTTCATGTTTTGTGTGTGTTTTAATTTTCTTGAAAATGTTTTTGAGTTGTTTCTTTAATTTGGGTGTTATGTTGTTTTTAGTGTATTGTGTCAGCCTGCCTAATTGCTGTCTAATGTCATTTATTTGTGTTTCTATTCTTCTCTGCCAGGCAGGCTTGTGATAGAATTGTGTTTTGTGTGTGTCTGTCTGTGAGTGTATTTTCAGTCCATGGTGTGTTACTACTGTGACTGCCCCAGCATAAACTAATGTATGAATGTCTGAGAGTGTAGAAATTGAATGAATGTAGTTTGGTAGTAAGTGAGTGTTTACATAATTTAGTGTTTTTCCTACTACCTTTGACGTGTTGATTTTTGGTATTCGTGGTCTTTGTGTGGGATCTGTACCAGTATATTTAATGAGTGTTTCCTGAAATATAAGTGAGAGCGTATTAACTAATTCTATGTCTACGTTATCAGTGATGGATGGGGAAGTGCCTGCAGTATCATTAGTGGTACTTGTTGTGTGTGTGCTGTAATCAGTGCTTGTTGCTGGATTATCCTGACAGGTTACGTGATCTTCATTAATGTTAAATGTTTCTGTCTGTTGATGTATTTGATCAGCAACCTGTTGTTTGATAAGTTCAAGTGTTGTTTGTGGGATAAGGTTGTTGTGTATAATTGTTCGTTTTTGATCAACAACCCTTTGTTCGGTGACAGTGAGGTGAGGATATTGTTGTGTGAATCTATGGTGTAGTTGTTGTCTGTATGCTGTCATGTTTGTTTCGAGTCTTGTGATGGTGTAGTAAGTGCGGATGATAAACTCGTTCATTTCTGTTGTCCATTTCATCCGTTGGCGTGGTTTTCCAGCCTTTGTGGTCTGTGGATGCATTGCCACAGAAACACCAAGGCTAGGTTGATTCCTCACATCTGTTGAGGGCATTGCAGTAGCCATGCTTGGGCCGGCGCTGCTTTCGCCACCGGTAACCAAGGGAGACTGGAGCCTATTTTTCGAACGTGAGCCTCTGCCTAACCCACGAACGCGGACCTTGTTAACCCGGGCGACGTCCGAGCCGGTATCATACTTAGATCTGGTTACTACCATAATGATTATCTCCACAGAATGTGGGTGTGTGGTCACTCTTAGCTTCATTCCTCCCCATAGACCTTACTGGCATGGGTGTCCCTACCAGGAGCTTGTGCTCCAGCCTGCATTGCTCTATGGATCAGTAAAATTACTGGGCTCTCCCACCACGACCAGGTGGTGACTATGGGAGAGATAATTATTATTATTATCAACATGTCTCGATTATATATAGATTGCAACATACTTTAATAGGAAATCTCTCACAATTTTCAACTGGCTTAATTTAACCTGAAACAGGTTCCTGAAAGTAGCTGAAAAAAGTTTAATTTTTTTCATCATTGTGCTGGAAAATATACATAAGGTGTGTTGTGTTATGTTGTTTATTTTGAATAGTTCCATCTTTTAGAGAATATAATATGGAATTTATGGCTACATTGGCAAAGATGTGCAGAAAAAAAGCCTGTTTTCTAGCATTTGTAAATGCTAGAATCATCTTTCTAAAAGAGCAAGTGTGCCCAAACTGACAAAAAAAATAAAAGAAAAAGTAAATTGAATTTTCTGTAAACAAAGACATAATAACAAGTCAAAATTGAACAATTTTTTAGTATGCTGGGATCTCATTAAACTATTTGAAGGCTTTATCAAAGCTTTTGAATATGGTTCTATGTTTACCCTGAAGTCCACTAAGTTACATCCAGAAGGCATCATCAGTAACACAGAAAAACTTCTCTTACAATCAAAATACATTTACGAAGACTTCCCAGTCAGGTAGCAGATGCTCTTTTAATATGAAGCATGATTTTAGATGATGTGATTTAGTGTCTATGAAAGTAAGAAATGGCTGAAACAAAATGGGATTATGTTAATCAAAGCTGACAAAAGCAGAGCAATTATTTTGTTAAAAAAACCACATACATTTTGTTGCTAGAAAAATAATAGTTATGTAGACAAACTCCAGAACGAAAGTTCACTTGATTTGACTAGTCTAAGTTCTATGTTTAAAACACATTGTAGTTAGCTTCTTAGACACTCTGATGCTCTCCAAGTTTGAAAAGATTCCTAAACTTGGTCAACTATTTTGCCATGTAGTGGACAAATGAAGATGATGATCCTAATAAAAAAGAAAAACACATACTTGCTAGAAGAATACCATAAGTGATAAAAGTTTACATTCACTATTTTGAGAGCTAGTGTCCAAATTAAAAAGCATTATGGCAATGAGCAACTTACAGCCCTCAATTTTATGTCTATGTATACATTTAAACTGGAGCCATGCTTTTTTGCACTAAGGGATTTTTTTTCGTTGTTACCATATCAAATGTGTACAAGTACCAACACAGATATTGAGTTAACACATTTGTGCTGCTACTCATCATTTTTCACATTTAATAATTGGACTTACATACAGTAAGATTTGTAAAGAAATTATACATACACTTCAAATATGTGTATAATTTCACAATGTGCGAAATTATTCACAAATTTGAAGTGTATGTATAATTTCGCACAATGTTTGTTTTATACCAGTTTAACAATTCATTAGCTCATTATAAATAATTACTCATAAATACATCATATAAAAAAAAAATATTCAAATTTCTGAATGGTGAATTAATATAAAAATTACAATCAAATCTGCTATAAAATAATAATAAAGGTATGTATAATTACCTTTATTATTATTTTATAGCAGATTTGGGATAGCCACATGGGATAGCCTGCACAATAGTCATGTGCGGGCTATCCCACATGGCTACCTACACTGTCGACACTCTCCAAAAACTTTGTCTTAAGGTGTTAGAGCATTTTCCCTATAGTCCTGATCTCATCCCATAGGACTATCACCTGTTTGGTTCCCTAAAAGAAGTGCTATGGGGACGAAGATTCATATCTGACAACAATGTTAAGACAGTGGTGCATTTGTGGTTTGCAGCTCAGCCAAAATCTTTTTTTAATGAAAGAATAAGAAAACTTGTGAACAGATGGACAAAGTGTATTGAAAAGTGGGGCAATTATGTTGAGAAATGCAATATTTGACTTGCTGATGGTTGATTACAATAAATTCTACAAAGTGCAGATAATTTTTGACTTACCCTCATACTTGCATACCAATATTAAAATTTTGACTTTTTAAATATAAACTGAATGTCTTAATACAGCATTTCAATACCTTGATACCAGATTATAATCTCAACACATTTAACATCAAACTAATATATTTTTGATTTCTTGAAGAATAAAATTGTTTTTAAATAATTTTTCTAAGCATAAAATGATTATATTGTATTTCCATGAATATAAGATCATATTTTTATATCTGAGTATAAGAGCATGCTCTTACAGATGTAGCGTAATTGGCACTTTATTCTGCAAAGTACCTAGAAAAACTATTTAAAAAACAACTTTTATAGAATTAGAAGCAATTTTCTATTTTAGTTCATTTTTGATGATGGTTACCACAGAGATGTCACTGAATAGTTACTGTTGTTACTGTATCAGTGCATTTACATTTAATTTATATTGACATAGCAGTGTAGTGTCTTAAAAGTCAAAACAAGGTGGCACACACAAGAGCATGCTCTTATAATCAAAGCAGGATATATTTCAAAAATGTGAAAACAAGCAATTTTCAGATAAGATCATGCTAGATAAAAGTTTGATAACTGTCTATTGGCATTAATAAGGTTTTGATGAGTAAAACACAAAACAAGTAAAAAAGTTTTGTAAGCACTTTTGACATGTATAGAATGTCTTCTTCAGGCAAAATGAAAACAAATTTTAGAATGTTGATATGAATTTTAACATTAATGTTAATATGTTCTAATTGGAGTGAACATGTTGAATTTAAATGGTACACTATTGGGACATTCCAATTTTCAACGTTCATTAAAATTTGTTTTTTTTTTCAACGTTGAGGTAGTGCTGTTGTCAGCGCTGACTCAACACACTCAGTACTCAACAGATATGTTGACTGCTACTTTCCAATGAATTGTGGGTAATTGAATGAAATCCATCTTGCTGAGAATGAAATTATGGGAACTAAGCACTTCATACTCGAGTTGGAACGTCGTTGATGACGTCAAATTGTTGACTTCAACACTCATCACTCGCGTTGAAAATTGGAATGTCTTGTATTAAACTTATAATTTGACCATTAATTAAAAATGCAATTGAAAAATTATCGGTAACTGTGATTTTAATTTTTTAAATTATTGAATAGTGAAATCTATATTTTTGGGAGTTCTAGAGTGGGCCTATTACTCATGACTCTAATTTCTCAATAATGTTTCCCAGATGAATACAGTTGCAGTTCTCACATTGTATGAAGATGGAAGATTCATTCCACGGGTGTAATGTAATGATTGAGACACTTTTTGAATAGTTCTGTGGAAATTTTATTTTTACAAATGTCATCTTGATGTTCTAATATTCTGCTTTGCAATTTTCTACTTGTTGCTCTGATATATATCACTTTTTCATCATTGTTTTGGTGTTGTAAGGGAATTATGTATATATGTGATTTTTCTAATGTAGTTAATTTGTTCCTGTCATTACATGGTATTCTGTGTAAGGGTAGCTGTGGTTTTATTGAAAGGTTAAACCCTGATTTTTGGAACCTTCTAGTAATGTGCAAGGACACAGACCCAAGATACAAGATGAAAGGGCTTAAATAAATGTGGTCCTTTTTTTATTATTTCTAATTTTGATGGTGGGAAGAGGAAATTCGCACATGGATGTGAATGTGCTTGAATTTAGCATAAGTGTATCCTGCCCTAGGCATTGCTATATTAATACCAAACAACACTCTTTTTTAACACTCTTTGTACCAAATGTTGTGATGGTGATAATATGTAGGCTCTACGAATATGTGAGGGCCCGGATTTAAGAAGGCTGAGATTCGAATATTTTTATTCATTTTCATCTACCGTTTTTGTTTCAAAACCAAAATGATTTTATAAAAGTTAGGGTTAACTCGAAAAGAGAAAAACAACCGACAAAATTTTCTCATAAAAATCGCTCATAAAACTCAATTCCCATGAAAATACTTCCTTGTAGAAGATGAGTTAACTGTTGTGTCATAATTTTGTCACTTCGCCCACCATTGGTCAAAGAAGATCATCACCTGTGACGTACATGGGGAAAATCTCGAAAGGAGAGCCCCCATATAAAAGGCAAGTGCGATGACGACACGGGGGAAAATTATTTTTCTGTACTGTGTGTGTGTGTATTACCTGCCTCTCGTTGCCACCATCTTCGATAGACTTTAATAGACTTTACAATTCTGACTTTGATTATAACTTTGAACTTTGACTATGACTTTGAACTGAATTTCAAACCTGGGAAGTAAGAGAATTTGGATCAACTAGACATCAACCTAGACATCAATGTTTATAACTAGAGGTATTTATCCTACCCGCGATGATATGTAAACTCTCTCTCAAATATTTCCAACTTGCGGTTAAGGTCATGACTAAATTATATTTTGTCCGCTATCCCAACCGGATTTTATGAATTATACGGATTGAAAATCCCGAGAGGGAATTGTACCCTCAACTCCTTAATCATCTATGTAAAAATGTTCAACAATAAACGGGTATAATGTTAACGAATTTTGATTGGTGTGCGTTTCTTCTGACATTATCACTTCCATACTGAACCCGAAGTCCTCCGAGAGATCACTTGTGATAATTTGTCCTCAATTTAAACGTGTATCTATCCGCTAAGAAATTGATAGATTGGTGTCAGATCCTGACGGGAGAAAGGATTTAACGATCCTTAACTCTATAACCCTTTTGCTCAGCAGAACCCATCCTTTGGACAAGAGAGACTGGACCTCAAGGTCTTGAATCAAGTAAGAGGTAGGAGAGTCAAGAACTCGTAAACATCCTACCCCCAATTAGTCTCACAAATAAGTGCAGCTATGGCATTATTTGTGTAGCCAGGCAATGGAATGAAGTGGCTGGAATAATGAGAGAACATAGATTAAACTTGTGATATACACTGAAACAAATTTCCTCAGGCATTTTTGTGTTAGGAGATGTAGTAAACTGATGCTGCTGTCTTTTTCTCTTTCTACTATAAAATTGAAGTGTTTATCTGGGATACTTGCTGTATAAACTGTGACAGTTTGAAATTGGTTAATCCCATGCTAGTAATATATAATCTACATATCTAATATATAGTAGTGGATAATCAACTAAAAGCACAGAAAAATACTCCAAACTCATTATTTCTCATAATTAACTCTGTAAGTATTGCTGATAGCAGAGAGCCTATTGGTACTCCCTGTATTTGAAGATAAATTTTGATTATTAAGAAAATAATTGTTTTCTGTTATTAGGAGTAAAGCTTCTCGTATTTCTAAAACTTGCTGCCTAGATAACTTCTGTTAAGTAGTAGCGCATTTTTCAACATTACTGCTTTGAAATATGGCACTGATGGATAAAGAGAAACAACATCAATCTTGAAAAACCAATAAGATTTTGATGGTAAAGCATCTAGATTTCTGTTGATTATCATTTTTGCTTTGTTGGCTGATGTAACAAGTAGCTCTGAGTAGGGCATTAGTAATTTTAGAAATTTTGCTATTTTCTTTTCTAGGAAATATGTAGGGTGTGTGCATTTATTTACTAAAGGGTATAATGGCCACTGGTTTATTTGCTTTTGCTTCAAAGAATTATCTTGGATATGCTATGTTAGGGAGGATCTAAATGGTCAGTAATAGATGAAGTAATTCTTGGCAAGATGATAACCTTGTTTTATGCAGAACAGTTGGCTTTGGGTTTCAATAATACAGACCCAGATTGTGAAAAAAATTGATTTGCTCTAAGTAGAAAATAATTGTTTTTGCACAGTACAAGCTGTTTAACTTTGTCTGAAATGATCTTAAGTTCTTCTTTAAAAGGAATTGTTTCAATCTCAATTGTTTCATACACCTTCATTAACTTCATTTTATGTTAGATTGTCTGTCTATATTATAACAAATTATTTTAGAAACATTTTAAAGAAATTATTGATTAGATAATAAATGCCAGATTATTTCAGGCTACATTTTGGCTATCAATTATTGAATAGTAGTTTGGCTAGTCATCATCTTGTACTTACTTTCAATTAATTTAATTGAAAATTAATATAATTATTAAAATTAGTGTAAGATAGCATTCAAACAGCCTGTTTTAGTCTAAATTATGGTTTGGTAATTGATAGCCAAAATGTACTCAAAATAATTTCATATTAGTGATTTGATTATCACTATTTCAGCTGATTTGTTTAGCATTATATTTAATAATTTTCTTAATTTTTATTCTTTATAATTAAACTCTTAAATATTTTGATAAATTTAACAATATAAAAATTTGTTTTTACAGGTAATGAAACATACACTTGCTGTGATGCTATACAAGCAACTCAACTTGAACTGAAATTACAGTTGGCTCACACATTAGGAATTAGTCGTTGTCCATCGTGTGCTATGAATTTTCAAAAGAATTTTTGTCATTTTACATGCTCACCTAATCAACATAAATTTTTAAGACCTACAGCATATGATACATCTAATACTAATCAAACTTTTATATCAGAACTTGACTATTATATGAATAAAAGGTATGATACAGCTCTTCAATTTTTAAATTATAATCTTTATATGTAAATTATGATTGTGATTTTTAAAGTATATTGCTAAGTTTTGATGACAAATATCTATTTTCGCAGAATGACAAGCATGCCACATGTAACTGGGGAGACCAACAAACCTGAAACCCTGGAGTTACTGGCATGCTGGTTAAATTGCGACTAAAAATAAAATTAATCAGATGTAACAAAACTAGTTGTTAATTAAATGTTAAAGAAAACATTCTTCCGATTACAATAAAATAATAATATAATTTGACCAACTTAAAATCAGGAAGAGATATTTACAGGATGATAAAACAATTAACGGCAGTGTAAGTTGTGATAATTTACTGCCAGTTTCTGAAACTTAATGTTTACAGTAGAGCGTCGTTTATCTGAATCAATTGGGGACTGGGGTTGTTCAGATAACTTATTTTTCGGATAACCAATTATGTACAAAAAAATATATTAACCTATCCCATGTTGAAATTTTTCTCCGTTGCGTGTCGCTTCGCGTTGAATTTTCGTCGATGTTAAGCCTAACGTAAACTTTTTAAAATAATAATCGTGGCTATTGTATTGTTAAAAATTATTTTTTTATTTTGTACAAACAGAATAAATATATTGAAAAATATAAAAACAATAAAAAATTATACTTCAGAAGTTAATTTAGTATCAAAAACGTAAAAT